AAAAAATACCAGACGGCCACAATGTAGATTTCACTACTTTGATAGGCCGACTTCTTTGGGAGTGATTTTGGATCTTGGCTTTTTTTCACCATTAGGTTTGTTTTAAGGATTTCATGTACTTGAAATAATTCTTTTCAACTACTCAGCTATTTAAATACATTTTTAAAACTCAAATAAATCAACGACACAAGCACAATATATTCAAAGATGATTATAAAATTTCCAAAACCATTTCTTTACTATAATAGCATCAGTCGAAAAACACCAAAACAATCTGAAAAGAAATGTGATTGTATACATTATGAATGAATTTGTCCCCACGGATCAAAATATCCTCAGGGGACTATTTGATATTTTTGGAAAAACTTTTGTCTACTCAGCAAGTTAATAATTATTTTCAAAACAGATCAATATTTCTCCGAAACGATTAAATTATCCCTATCGTGATGCATTGGTTAAAATATTCCGTAAAACTGATCTAATTACATGTCATTCGAAATTTCGCAAAAAATCATCAAAATTAGAGATTTAATTTTCAAATTTTAAGAACCGATTTGCATTTATTTACAAAGTATTAGTGATGGTTCCAATTCAATCGGTCAACTTAGTTGGGCTACATGAAGTTAGCCCCCTCCCTCATCGAAACATGTTAATTGGAAATTGAGGGGGGATTTGCGAATTCTATAAATAAATTTGCAATTATTTGCTAAATATTGGCATAGGTTTCGAGTTTATTTATCAACTTGATGGGGTTACCTTCATGAAAGTAAAATAAGGTTCAATTTTTTGATGCTGATGACTTATTTTAGTCATCAACTTAGATTTAAAGAAGAAAATAAAAACATCGATAGATAATTTATATTATGTATATTATGATATACACGTTCACAATCAGTACTTTTATGGTATTTTAAAACCCGGGATAAATATCTTGTTGGTTGCTCTACCTTAGACCTCACCGTCGTTCCTGCGGACATTATAACCCTGAGGAGGACTACCCACATAATGTGTATGTAGACATTATCGGTTCTAGCTCCTTAAAGTTATTTATTTATTTTTTCATTGTTAGTTAATTACATCAGATCCCAAACGGCACCCGTCTATTGTTCGCGTATTCCCAAACGGCTCCCGTCCAAAAAGGTCTAACGAACAGGTAAATTCCTAAACGGCTCTGGTTTTGTACACCACAAGTTCCTTCCCACGGGAGCCGTTTGGGAATTGACCTTTTTGTAAAACGGGAGCCGAATGGGCTACGACCAGTTAATTACATTGTGCTGTCTACCAATGGCGTAGCCAGGATTTTTAAATGGGGGGGGGCTAACCACTTTTTTGGATAAGTAAGGTAAGAGAGGATATGAGAATTCACCCTTACTCCCCCCCCCCCCACTATCTACCACCAAGTTTCTAAACGTAATTCAAGCATTTTAGTATAGTTTTAAAAATATTTATTAATATATAATTTATAATAATAATAATAATTTTGGTTTCAGTGTTCAGTCACTTGCTCCACTCTGACAGCTGCATCCTCTTAGGCGAATTTCTGGCAAATTAAGTTATTATTTCATTTTCATCGAATTGCTCTTTTTTATTTATATTAGCCATAGCTAACCCATTCAGTCTGTTTTCCGACATGGTGCTTCTTAAAAAAAATTTTAAGCGATTAAGTGCTGAAAACGTTCTTTCCGGAGTGAAAGAGGTAACTGGTAACGTGGCGAATAATTGTGAAAGTATTTTAATGTTAGGTCGAAGATTGGTGGATGAGAGAGTGAATCAAGAGCAGAATTCGGTTTTGGAATAGTATTTTGACTCCATTGTTGCCCCCATATAAACAGGTCAGCTCTGATTGTAGATGAGGTATCATCATGGAGATCTTGGACATATATTTTAGCAGGTTTTATAATATTTTTATCGTCATACATATTTAAATTGGCCGGAATAAGTCCTTCAAGTGGCATAACATCAATAAACCTTTGATTAAAACGAGCATCTATTGATTCTATTAAATAGTCAAGATACATTATACATATAAACACGGCCCATGGGAGGCTATAGCCCCCTTAGCCCCCCCTTGACTACGCCACTGCTGTCTACTCTTGTGTTTACCGAACACACATAGTTTGTATATAGCTCTCGAAATTTAATTGTTTAGTTATTCAGATTCCCCGAAACACTGCATAAGTCAGCTGATTATGTACCACAAGCTAACACTTGTATTTTGCAGTACAATTCGTAATACGAATACGTATACGTATATTCAATTTTCTCAGTATTTTAAAGCAAAGTTGTGACATGGTAAATTGTCGTACTATATTATGTAATTATTATACATTTCTGTATAATACCGAAACAATAAAAATAATTTGTCAACTCGACTATTATATAAAAATTATACATGATAATGAAGTTAAAATAATTGCTTATAAAAAAGTGTACTAGAATCTTGTTCTACATAAGACTATATGGAAAGAGAAAAAGCACCGATAACAATGATATAATTTAATTAAATTGTGCAAACACAATTCTACCATCGCATATAATTTCTTGTTATTTGTTAATATCGAGGCTCATCAAACCTTCAACACAAAAGATGTTCCAGTGTTTCGCAATGTCTTGTATTATTTTATTCATTAATTTTAAACCGTGTTTTATGATAAAATTATATTATCAATATAGTACCGCCAAAATAGTGTTTTATTACTGAATCATTGTTCATTCAACTCTCAAAAGTCAAAATATGTCAGATGACAGCAAGTCATATTGAAGATTTTTAATATTAGCTTATAAACCTTATACAAATAAAGCTTAAAATACATATAGTTGTTTGATTTATGTTAGTTATTAAATAAAAGTTTCAGGTTTATTAGGAAGGATTTTACTTAGGAAGCTGGAAAATTGATGTATTGGAAATTATAGGTTAAGAATATGCTTCTACACCACCAGAATTAGACCCAATTTATGCCACTGTCTAGGATATCTGGCCTGTATCTTGATGAGTACAGAAAATAAGTTGGCGTTCCTGGCGGCAATGATTGAATAATCATTTTGTTGGAAATGGTTAAAAAGTTAATCCCAGAAGGGATGCTTCGAGTTTGGATCACCTGCTATTATTATGTTTTCTGCTCCATTTGTTAAAATATTTAAATCTTTTAAAAGCAAAGTTGCCCTGTGTGGTTTGCAGACTGAAGAAATGAGAGGGGTTTGGTTATTTATTTAAGTTAGGATTGATGAAGATTAGAGTTTTGTTTTTAGTGTAACTGGTTGATGCACTATGTTATGACGAATTAATATTGTAGTACCATGGGCTGGGTTGTTTGGTAGTATTAAATCGTTTCTGTATATAGTTTGGGATCTTGAGAATTTTTTAAGGTGAGTTTCGTTTATAAGAATTATGTCGACATTAATTTTTGATAATAATGCGCCGAGTTCATTTATTTTCTTTAGTATACCGCTGGCGTTCCAGGGTACGATTTTTAGACTGGAACTCATTATTGGCTTGTGTAGAGAGAAATGAGGAACTTTGTTTGTAGAAGAAGAGAAACTTGATTGTAGTTATTATTGTTTCTTAGGGATGCAAGATATCTCAGGAGCAAAAAGAGAAGAATGGAAAAATGTTGATGAAATATACCATGTGTTCACCAATTTAGGAAACACTGAATATCTCGGCCAGATTATGTTTTTTTTACAAGCTAGTGGTATATAAATACACATTTTCAGATAAATTTCAAATTTTTAATCTTCTCGGTACGCGCATGTGCAATGCAACTTATTTTTTTTAATAACAAACGATATTTTTGATACCAAATTCGGATAGACTGAATGAGAGCCATTTCAATTTTAATAAATAACACAATTCATTATAAAATGCATTAAATCATTTATAATTATTTATTATTGGTTACTTTTTGAATATTTTTACATATTTTTTTTTATAAATACATTTTATAAACAAGATTAACATAATATGGATATACAATTATTTAATTAAAATTGTTTACATGGTTTAATGTATTTTATAACCCGTATTTGTCTGTAGCTGTCTTTCTCTCTCTCTCTAAGGTAGTCTCGAAGTATTCGTGTCAGTTAAAAAGTTACATTTTTTTGAGTTCTTCTGATTTTTTCCCAGGGTGTGGTGTTAAAGGCATTAGCGACATCGATTGACATTAGAGCACAGAGCTCTCTTCGTCTCCAGGGTACAGAATTAATGGGATTAATTATAGCCAGCACTTTTTCAATGGCATCCATTGTAGACTTCCCTCTTCTGAAACCATACTGGTTCTCCAAGAGCCCCTCTAGCTCAAGGTGTACATCTAGTCATCTCTTCAAAATGCGCACAAACATTGTAAATAATAATTGTGTTGTTTATTTTATTTTTTGTTTATACTTATTCAATAACTATCAGAATTGTTAGGAATTCTGTTTAACACGGGTTTCACTAAATAGTAAATATTATATTTACTATTTAAACACTGTATTATTAAAAAACTATAAATACAAGTTATATTATAAAATAAAAATAAATCAAATTTTTAATGAAAAAAAATAAAAATAATACTCATTATACACAAACAATAAAAGAAAATATATCTAAATTTTTTTATTATACATCAAAATAAAAAAAAGTTAATATTTTACATTTGATTCTTATTTTTATAAAAAAAAAAAATATAAATATACATATAATAATAAATAAATATTTATTATCAGTCTCTGAAAAAAATTATAATTCGTAAATCAAGACAGTATTCATTTTAGTAATTTCATCCAGATGATATTTCCTTTCTTGATGAAGCAGTTGAAATCCTATAAATTAAGTTTAAAATAAATTAAAATTATTTTGAAAAAAATATATATACATAATTAAAATTTAATTTATTTTCAATATATAAGATCATTTAATGACCTTATATTGAAAACAATATAAATTTGAAAATACCTGTGAATGTCTTTAATAAATTCCAATAACTTCATAAAACCAATTAGTAAATCTCCTGACCCATCAACATTTGATTGTTGAGATCTTATTTCAAATGAAGTTATACGTTTATCTTCTACATCTTTGCTTATTGTTCTATAAAGAAGTAAACTCTAAAAAAAAAAAAAATAATGAAAGTGATAAACAAATAAATTAGCAACATATATAACAAGCTACCATGTTTTTGGCAATATCAGCTATTTCAGTTAGTTGTTGATTATTATCACTGTTTTGTGATACTTTCATTAAAAGTTGACTGGTAAATATATACACACAAAGTTCTAATGCATCGTTCAAACTTGCTAAATCTACATCTAATACATATCTTTCGTTGAGTGCTGATATCAATGATGTAGAAACCACTCCATGCTAGACAATTAAACAATATTCAATAATCATACAATATTATTAATTTTTATTTGTTTTAATATTAATTTCAACTTTTTAATTATTATACTGGGAATAAATTGTTGCCCTTAATCATATATATATGAAAAAAGAAGATTAATTTTACTCACTCTAGTTATTTTGTCAGAAAGGAATACAATCATTTCAATCAGTCCATCAACAGTAAAAAACGTACTGAATTTTGAATCAATAATTACTTCATTGCTCACAATGTTCCTAAATATATTAGCATTACTAATACCCAACTGAAGCAGCGATACAATTTCATAAGGAGGAACCATGATTCGTGCAAGAATTGAATTACAAGAATACAACATTTCAAAAAGACTGAAAACACAAAAACCAATAAAATAAGCTAATACAAACATAAATATCAAAAAAATAGCTATACATTTTTCTTGTTTTGTTAATTTTGATTAAATCTTTTTCTGTAAATATATCCTCCCTTGTTTTCCAACCAGGAAGATTTAATTGTACTTTCTCATTTTTAAATATACTCATGATTAAACTATCTGGATCATTTAATTGTAAATATGAACCATAAGCACAATCCCATATACTTATCTAAAAAATTTAAATGAATTTAATATAATCATTAAATATATAAATATAATATTTAAATTATAAACGTTATAATAAGTTACTCACAATAATTTTTTCAAGAACAATAAAACATGAACCACCAATAGATTGCCAATAATAATAATATTCTTTAGAAACTATTAAATTCATTAATTGAATAACTGATTGTACAAGATTTAAATGAGGATTTGATAATTTCATATTCTTTGGCTAGCAGTTAAAACAAATATTAGACACATTTTTGTAATGCTTAATTAAAATACTCACAAAATTTAGAATTATAGATAAATCTGAGAAAATTGAAGTTAGTTGTTGTATTGCTACTTTCTTTACACAACTGTCACAAATTACTATAAAATTTAATAGTATTTTAAAATAATTTTTATAGACACATAATCGTTTAGAATCATCAAATTTCAATTCGCATTCATTCTAAACAAAAAAATAGTTTTACATTTTACAAAACTCATATTTTAAGCATTTACTTACTGTATGAGTCACAAATTTGGCAGATAGTACAGCACATAAATGCTTTACAATATATGGCTGTGTACCAAATTGTAAACGAAAATGCTTTGATGAGGATAAATATAAAAGAAAATCAGCCACTTCAACAGTGACAGAATTAATTTGATTTTCCTAAATAAGACATAAAAGCAAATGTTATAATTTATACATTATTCAGTTTAAATATATACAGACTTTATTGCATTTATCCACATATTTAAGTATCTGATTAATTGTATTTGTCAAAAAATATGATTGATAGCAGTTATTAGACAGTCTAGTAATAATAGGGATAATTTTATAAAATAATTGGTTCGTAAGTTTTAAATTAATAAGAACAGATCGAAATTCTTGATCTGATTCATTGATGTTTTCCAACTGTTTTTCAGCAAGTTCACAAATAGTAATATACATTTCATTACTAATAATATCTGTAGTAAATAATAAAATTAATTAAAAATATATTAAAATAAACAGAAAAAATAAAAACCTTCAGGAATAGTAGTTGATGATTCATTATCAGAAAATATAATAGTTGTGATCTCGTTCACTACTATCAAAACAGTAGTTTTGGATGTTTGACTTTTTGATAAAGTTTCATTATGATTTAGTAATTTTAATATTAATTGTACATCATCAATAGTTGATTTTGAATCTTTTATACAGTTCCTATTGATACAAAAAAAAATAAAAAAACATAAGTTTACTTAGATTTAAATCTAACCTAGATTTTATTTAATAATAGATTATTTGATTTTAAATATATATATATGAGGTTATCAATAATGTTTAAAAATAATTTTAATTTTTAAAAATGTGTTGGAAACAATTTTCGCTTAAGAAAGTAGAAGTTTTTATAAATGCCAATATACCAATTCTTAGATTTTAAATAAAAACCTATGGAATTAGTCAGGCAATTTGTTTCAAAAATAAACAAAAATAAAATTATATATATTTTTTTTTTATAATATTATTTTATTATTTTATCTTACAGACTTAATTTGTTTTCCTTATAAATACTTCTATGTTTATTGGTTAATTTTTAATAAATATAAAATACTAAAGTACTAAATATTTACAATATAAAATAATTAAATACATTTAATATTAAATAATGATTTACACTTACTTCTTCCATATTTGTAACATAATCAATAAGGACTCTCCCAAGCTGACAATTGAACTAGTATCATTACCTTTAAGCTCAATGATAAATAATTTTAGAATATTATCAACTACTTGATATTTATTGGTTACAGCAGAATCATGGTTTTTTAATACTAATAATGTAAAAAACTTCCAGGAATAAATTAACTTCCTTTTTATATCAATAAAATTATCATTATTTTCTTCAAAATAATCTAAAAATCCCTAAAAATAAAATAAATAAAAAATAAATGTAAGCATAAAATATACATATACATAAAAACACAAAGATATTAATAGTTTTTTGTTTCAATAATAATAATTTTTAAAATGGTAGCAACTTTGTTATAATTATAATAGCTGTAATACCAAATAATATACTATTTTATGCGATGTAATGTCATAAACTAATTAATTGCTTCATAGTTACAGTTTTAGAACTTAAAAATAAGTTAATAACCAAATAATAATTTTGATTAGAATTTAAAACTTACTTTTAACATATTGTTTAATCTTGTTTTCAAAAAAATATCAATTTGTTCAGAAAATTCTTTATTGCTCTCAATAGGGCAGTAATGTGCTTGAAGTGACAAAATTGAAAATATTTCTGAATTTATTTCTGGTATCATTCTATAAAAAAATTAATTAATAAAAACAAAAAATCTATATTTTAAACTAACCAATTAAAAATAGTCAGGGTAGACATATAACAAAAATACTCAATATATTGTTTTAGATCACTATTCCACAAGATCTCTTTATGTTAATTGCAAAGTATATCAAATGATAACAATTCATTAATAGCATAATTTAAATGATATTATAACATAAATGAATTAGGAAATATTTTAAAATAAGTAATCTATTTTTACTATTTTTTTTATAGTTGAGATTAATCAAAATGCTGTGATCGAGGAAGGACATCTGATAAAAAGCTAACCAGCAATGTGAGTTGAATATTTATTTATTATTCATATTTCTTTACATAATATGTAATAAAGTATAATTTTAATTTAAAGTATCATGTCGATGTAATAAAAATTTAGAAACACTGATTGAAAGAAAAATCAACTCAAATACTTTAACCAGTAAGTTATTTACAATTATTATTCTAACACATAAAAATATATTTGCAGACCTTAGTTTGAAAAACACTGGTTTTGAGAATTCTATCTCATGGTATAAAACAATATTTTTGCATTATAACAATAGTAACAATTATTGTTTGAAACAAAACTAAATATACCAAAATTGATGAATAAATAATACCTTTAGTACAGGTAGGGCAGATGATTAACCTAAAAATCTTAATAAAAAAAAATTCTTTAAAACTTACTTGTTATGAAAAAGTGGTTTAAATATTAGGTTCCAAAAACTTTTATTTTGTTGTAAATAATTCATTGCTAAATTAAATCTGTTATACCACAAGGTGTGAATAATTCCTAAGGTTTCAAGATAAATATTATTTTCTTGTTCTTGTTTGAAATCCTATAAAACAATATTAAATATATTAGTTAGTTATTATGAAGAATCTTAATTACAATGTTACAAATGTTTGTATTTTGGTCAAGATTTATCAATATTCAAATGCTAAGAAAAAAAGTAGTAACAGAGGCATCATTTCAACTTTTAAAAAGGTAGAACAACTGATTAAATTTTCCGACTTAATAATATTTAAAAAATTATAGTTACCTATATATTTGAACATTTAATATTTATGAACTATCAATTAATAGACTATCAATAAAATATTTTTTCGGAACAAAACATATAAGGATTAGTGATATAATGATGTTATGATGATAAACTAAGAACATGAAACATTTCAATTTACCAAAACTAACCCAATTAAATAATAACATTTAATATAGTAAAACATTATTATTCTATAGGCTATAAGTTACCTATCAATAGGTTTAATGGAATAATAATATAAATATAATTAAATAAATACTTATAATTTTATTATTTGTATATTTAATACTTTACAGAACTTATTTATAAAAACATAAAATTGTATCTCAAATATAATGTACCATAGTTTGAGATGAATAGGAACAATTTTAACGGTTTTTTATAAATTATGAGCTCGATTTTGATGGCATCGATATCACAAAAACTGTTTTATAAAGATCACATATATAGAAATATATAATATATCAAAAAAGTTTATAAGGTTTGCGTAATAACGATTATCGTAAACTGGGGAGGAGCCAGTTTCCCAACTTTTAATAAACCGTGAACATGTATTTAAAAGAGAATATTATCTGATTTCTGAGTACAAAATAGTAAATAAAAATTTATTGTTTACCGATTTTAGCATTTGATAATCGGACAAAGAATTTCTGATTTTTTAAAATTTCTTAGAGTGGGTCGATTGCCATAGTCTACCCCCCCCCCCCCTATATGACGCACCTGGTAGTGACTACAAATATTCAATAATATTCTACACAAGAAAAAAAAACTTACAATGAACTTTGTATCAAGTTTTCAAGATTTATCGAATTAAAATTATTTTATTAATATTTTGAAGAAAAAAAAAGTAATTAAAATATTCAAAATATCACACGAAAAAAATCAAATTTTTTTATAATTATACTAATCATTGTCATGAATGGGAAAAAGAACCAGGGATTCATCTTCAACCCAACAATTCGGTGGAAAATAGATGTTTCAACCCAGGACGAAGACGTTAAAGCGGAAAAATAAGAACAAGGAGATATATGTTTCATACATACCAAACCTAAGACAACAATACCAAATCAATAATTAGGACGTAAAAGGCTTATGATTTGTTGCTAGAAGAACGGCATCACCTTTCCTTCCGATTTTTTTTTTTAAATCCATGGAATTTCTAAGTATATATTAGTAGAAATGTGTCTAATAATGTTAACAGACACATTAGGAATAATCTAGTATCAGTTATAGTCTTAACTTTTATAAATTAGTAATTATTTAGGTACATTATTTTTATACGTTCTGATTTTTATTCATATTACATTTTTTTTTTTTTTTACTAAAATCATTATTATTTAAACATATATTTACTTTGCCAAATATTATAAGTATATTTTTAAAATAGCTATATACATTGTACTAATAAGTGAACTTTGTCTTATAGGCAAATGACATAGTGAGTAATTCACTTTAAATGATTTAATAAGTTTTTACTACTATATATTAGTAATATTTATTCCAACATCAATTAATTAACCTATAAATATTACTGTTTTTTTTTTTTTACTCAATTATTTAGAAAATTATTAAGAAATTCAAAAATGTACTTCCTGAAAGTACCAAGAAGACAAAATCAGATTTTTTTTTATACGATGAAATATTAAAAATTGTATTAAATTAGTTCCCATTGAAATAAAATATCTATGTCTATAACTGAGAAGCAATGCAGAACCCTTATTCTTTAAGAAAAGTAAATAACTTTGGATAATCTTACTTACATCAGTTTCTAGTTCTACTTCAATAAACCATAAAATGCTATTATCATTATGTTCAATTTGTTTTTTTTCTTTAATACATTTTTCAAGTAATTCCACATTCAAAATAATTTCAAACATCTTACATTGATACGCAATAGCATTGTGTAAAAATTTTAACATTTTTACCTTAATAACAAAATTAAAATATATGAATATTCAAATTAATTCAATTTTATGTATACATTACATACAATATTAGTAGAATGTAGTCTATGTATTTTTAAATAAGATAACATTTCTGTCCTTGCTCTTTTATCATTGTCAAAACCCATTGAAAGACTGAAGGAGACAAATCGTTTCTGAATATAATGAAATAATTATTGATATATTACTTAATAATAATTGAGATTTTTACTTACTTCTGCAAGTGTACCAAGAATAGTAAGGGATAATGTACTTAATTTGTTATGAAATGCAGTCAATCTATATGACAATAAAACTGAGAGCCTCCTTTCGGGATCAAATAATGCATTATTCATTCCTTGTTTTACGTCAGACTAAAATATTAAAAGTATACAGTTTAAAACAAATAAATTCCAATGAAATATAATTTGTTACATACAATTGACTTAGTGTCAATGATATAATTTAATAAGGATAATGCAAATATTAAACATTGTATATTTCTTTTTCCAAGTCCAACAGTCCAACTGTGATAATTATGCATAATTTTAATAAAATCTTTTTCTCCTAAACATTAAAAACATAATATAAATTAATAAATTAATAATAATATAAATTTACATTAAATTATGCATGCTAAACCACAAGTTAAGCTATTATTAATGGAATTATAGATTACATAAACAAATTTTTACCTATAGAAGCTATGTTTAAAATCATTAATGATGCAATTGATGTAAGACTATGTGGTAGACATAAATCTATAACTTGTTTAATAAGTATTATTGAATCATCTTCATCACTTTCTGGTTCTAACTTAGAAACAACATAAATTAGGCGTATACAAGCCCAACCAAGATTCATTTTTTCTCTGGGTCCAACAAAAAAATCTGATACACTCAACAAGGGCATAATAGTTTTGAACACAAACATTATACCAGCTGTTGCACACTGATGTGTAAGCACATGTCTGACCTAAATTTAGTATTTTAAATATAAATTATAATATATATTCAATCAATTATAAACATTAATATTTTTAAATAGAACTTACTTTAAGTGAAGCTTCAACTAATTTAACATACTGTGTTAAAACTGAATAAATTTCAGATCCATACTTCAAAATCATTAATGCAATAGAATTTTGAGAAAAAGGATGTAAATTTACAACAGAATCTTCAACACTACTCATTAAAAAAGGAAAAAAATTATTGGCATTAAAGTAACACATTGTTTGTTCAGGAAAGTAAACAAGTATATATCTTGCCAATTTCAATATTTCAGATACTATTTCTGGATCAGTCGCATAATTTGAATCAATGTAGGAAACACTAAAAAACATATAATAATATGAAAAAAGTTAAAATATAAATTATATTCAAAACATTATACCTAGGTACAAGTGTTAACAATGTTTCACATGTTCCCATAATATCATCATTCAAAGATGTTGCAACATTTGCAATAGACTGAATAATTTTTATAGAATTTACAAGCATCTCTTTTGTAAGAATATAAGAACTAGACTTACGATCCTCATCACGACACTAAAATAAATGGTATTAATAAAGTCCAATTTTTAAAACAAAATTATTATTTACCATTCTAAAGTTGTTAATAGCAGAATTCAAAAAATAGAATACTGGCACTTTAATATTAAAGCAAACCATATCTCCATTAATAATAAATGTTGTGTCTTTAGGAATTTCAATGCTATAAATTGAGTTGTTTACATAATATTTATCAGTTAATGAAAAATTATCCATTTTCTGTTCATAAATATACTGTCCATCTGGTGGAGCAATAGCATAAAATGTGTCAATACTATTCATCAGTGTCCATACCTATAAAATACATATTGCATTAAAAATAAATCTTAATACTGTATAATAAAATAGTTACTTTATTCAAACTTTGTGGAGCTCCTTTGATAATACCAGTAAATAGTTCAAATAAGCTGCATAAATTAACAGGATACATTTCTATAAATTTGTTTACAAATAAACCAATACCGCTTTCTAAGTTGTTAATTGTTTCAATCGATAATCTTGGGTTTTTTTTTAATAAATATGACAAAAGTTTAATAAGAATTGGATCATAGTCAACCAATTCAAATATATCTAATTTAATACTTTCTATAATTAGGTTTTCAGATAGCAATCTTCCTAATTTGTCTATTATTGGGTGATCCTAAAGTTTAAATTTATAAGTCTGACATATAAGTAAATAAAACAGCAATTAATAATTATATATAAATAAAAAATATTCACTTTAATAGCTGATGATTGACACATTTCTAATAAAGATGGCCACATTTTTAATGCACTTATTGCTTCTGTATAAACTTCTAGTTTTTGATTACTTTTGATGCCAAATTTGCCTTTAAGATGAAGGAGTGTCCAAGCTAATAGGACAATACCATATTCACTACTAGGTTGAATCATACGAATTTTTTTATCGGCTTCGTTGAATTCTAAATTAGTTGACCATACATAATTTTCATTTCTAAGAAAAAACAAATAATAAGTAATATTATATGAATTCAAATATTTATTATTTAAGAAATATACAATGGACTCAAATTTGATTTAATCCAAAAGATACAATTTTCATTACATGCTAAAATGATCTTGATTTCAAAACAAATACAAATACAGTTTAATACAATAATATAATTTAATACTACTCACTCCCAAAATATTGCTATCATTTGTAATGTATGTAATGTTTCTAAACTAGAAATTTGATTCATTATTGGCAGATATGCAGTTTGTAAATTATTATAATCATATTCCAGAGTTTGATTTTTTCCAAAATTATTATCCTGTAACAAATAAAATATTATGATTTATATATACAGTGTGTAAACGGTAATCGAGAATACTCAATCTTTGCGTAGAGACCTGCTATTTAAATTCTGTATTTTGGCAGTTGTTATGACATAAAAATACATATTTTTATGGTCTTTGAATTCTTTTTACCTAACTTGTCACGTGCATGCGCATGTCAACTTTTTTTTTTCAAATGGCAAACCCCTGCTTTAACCACTAATTATTTTTTGCCTATTTTTTTTAATGAATTTTGGTAGTTGAATCAAATTTCTAAGTCCAAAATTGACCAAGTTAGAGCAATTAAAAAAAAAAAAAAAATTAGAAAAAAAATGCCCTCGATTTTCAGCTTTTTGATTGTAACTCTGAAAATAATTATTATAGGATTGTTAAAGATTGACATTTTTACAACTATTTATTACGGTGATATTCATACGTTATTTTAAGTTCAATTACTGAATAATTTTCTATTATAACGTTAAGTTAGATATGCGCATGCAAGTGACAAGTTAGGTAAAAAAAATTCAAAGACCATAAAAATGTGTATTTTTATGTCATAACAACTGCCAAAAAAACAGAATTTAAATAGCAGGTCTCTACGCAAAGATTGAGTGTTCTCGATTACCGTAATCAAGTGCATTTTTTTTCTAATTTTTTTTTTTTTTTTAAATGCCGAAACTTGGTCAATTTTGGACTTCGAAAGTTGATTCAACTACCAAAATTCATTAAAAAAATAGGCAAAAAATAATTAGTGGTTAAAGCAAGGGGTTGCCATTTTAAAAAAAAAAGTTGACATGCGCATGCGCATGACAAGTTAAGTAAAAAATTTCAAACCCCATAAAAATGTGTATTTTTATGTCATAACAACTGCCAAAAAAACAGAATTCAAATAGCAGGTCTCTACGCAAAAATATTGAGTGTTCTCGATTACCGTTTACACACTGTATATTTAATAAAAATAATTTTTAATAATTGTAAATTATTCTCATTTAATTTTAAAAATACTTACAATTAGATTAGTGACCCAAACATTAAAATCACTTTTTGAAATTTCAACCATTTTTAAAGAAATTAACACCATCAATTGTAAAATTTCAATTTGCTGGTTTAAAACAAATGTAAGCAATTGTTTATGTATCACTTTCTGAAGTGGTTTGTAAACAATAGTATCAAAAAAAGTTAATGAACGAACATATGACAATTGATCTCGAAGAGAAGTATACCATTCATTCCAAATTTGTTTATGTACAATTTTTTTACAAATTGTCTAAAAATAAAAAATATTGATTAGAAATTGTAGAAAAATAGATATATATTATACTTACAGAATAATGAGAGTTATGATTTTCTGCTGCAGTAAGAATGTATTTCAATGAACGAAATAAGAACAATATTTCTTCATTGTAAAAATTCCATACATTAACACATACATTATGTAATTCATTTTCAGTCATAGTTTTATTCAAATCATTTTGACACACAAACTTATTATATTTATTATATACAACTTTAGCATCTTCCTCATTAATAAACTAAACAAAGAAACTTGATTGAATAAATGCATAAATTTCTAATTAAATTAGATCAAAAATAAAATAATAATTACAAGTAGTTGGGATAAAATAGGATATAAGTAGTCTGTGTCTGATTTATCATTTTTATAAAACATCAGACGGGATGAAGCATGAGATTTAAATTTGAGCAGGCCTTTTTTCATGTCATCTAAACTATCATATATCATAGACTCAATTGATTCATCAGAATAGTTTACATTCAATTTATTTAGCTTGTAGTAGAATTCTTTCCAACAACTAAATATATATGTTTACAGTATTAAATATGCTTTATAAAGTTAAAAGTTTATGAATCGTTTTATAGTTTCGCGTTTAACTTACATGTGTTGCTTTGAGTTCATTTTAAAGTCTTGCAAAAGTATTGTGGAAAGAAAAGAAACCAAGTTTAATATATACTTAATAGGAAAAAGAAATATCAATATACTTTAATCTAAAAATTGATAAAAAAGAGTAGTAAAAATTTTTTATAAATATAAACAAATTTAATAAATAATAAATAGTGAATAAAATAAAACAGTTTGTACTTGTAAAGTTTGCAAAGGAAACATTATTATTTTTACACACATATAAGTAATAAAAAATCAAATTCTAACTACTTTTTATCTTTTATTACGGATATTTGAGGTTATATTATAATTTGATAGTGGTTATCATGAATTTATTGGTGGTCGTCACGGTCTTAGATCTTCTAAGACCGTGGTGGTAGCATAGAACGTATGTTCTATGGTGGTAGTTATTTTAATTTGAAATTAATTTGTTTATGAAGAACAATTATAGCTGTTGCATTATCTTGAGAAATTTTTGCACGATAATTTAGAAAAAATTTTTTTTGTTTTCTTTTATGAAACATCATTTATTTTTTATCAAATATTTTAGAATAAATTAAATTTTTATGGTTTCTATTTAAATAATTTTGGGAAGTCCTCAGGCAGCAGACATTCATAATTATATTATACAACCTGTGGATATTCTATTCAAAGTCTATGACTCAGGATGTCATAGCACGGGAAGTTCCCATAATTCCATATGGAATGTACTTAAGACGTTTATATAACTACAGATTAGATTAATCTATTCTGTGACAGAACTTCCTTATTTTATTTAGTAATAATTCGATAAATAATAACATATTACCTAATTCGCATATTCTGGAATTCATTTTAAAAAGTGTAAGATTTACTTATGCTTGCAACGCTTCAGCCTTTCATCTGACAAATACATTTTCAATTATTTATCTAACTGAATAAGAAAACCAATACAAAAAAGAATGGAAATCTTAGGTTGTGTGATATATAAAGATGGATGAATATATTGCTGTATTATTCTTTTAAATTTGAAACCAAAGTATCTACCATCAATGGCGCCCACGTAGAGTACCAAGTGGTATAATTGCACTTGTTTCTCGTGAGTCTCAGGGCCTACATACTCGTACATTTGGGAGCCCCATCCTGAAACAAACACTATAAATGCATAACTATTCATCTGGATCCTTAGATCATTGAATAAAACGTAAGGAGTTGGTAGTGCCAAATATGCAAATATCTAAATATAAATGTATAATAATTAATATAGATAGGTAACTATAATAATGTTGATTGTGTTGGTAGTTTGTGTCAGGGCTCAGGAAGCCACCCCAAGATTTATATGCTATTATGTTAATATATTATTGAACTACTACATAGAAATAAATTATGATGAAGTTACTTCATTGAAGTAATAGATATATTTTATAAAGCAAGTCAACACATAGGTATTCAACGTTTTAAATTAAATCACTGATAAAAATGACTAGGTATCTATGTAAGTACATATGTTGGCAAGGGAGGGACATGCCCCCCCCTGGAAAATGTCAAATATTTCGGAAAATTGTTTACTATGATCAGAAAATATTTATTTAAATAGAATTTAAAAATTTAATTTAGTAAATGAGAATCTATAATTTGTTTATGAAAAATCTATTTAGTTCGAAAAATTATGTTATCAGCTATAAATAACAATCCGCTTTTTCGTTTCTATTCTATGGATAATTGTCAATTCTTAAAATATTGTGTGTTATCAGAAATATGGTATGTATATGTGTGTGTGTACACAACCATATTTATGGAATATTTGTAAATTAATATTTTAATTAATATAACTAATGTTTTAAGTGTCCAATTTATATTAGTAATTAAATAAAAATTTCAATAAATTACTTTTATGGTAAATTGGTTAAATAATTATTATTTTATAGTCTTCCAGTTTGATATATATAATGTAAAATTGTAAGCCTCTTCCTATATCGTGCGTCATTCCTATTTATGAATAGATTAATTAATTAAAATGTTGTCCCCCCCCTTGAGAATTTTCCTTTGGGCGCCCTTGTAAATAGTATATGTTTCGAGTAATCAGGGCCACATTTAGGGGGGGGCACTGGCTACAACTGCCCCGGGCACCAGTTTTTTGGGGTGCCAACATTTTATGGTCGGAAATTATTTTTTGTTTTTTTGTTTTTAATAGTAGTATCATAAATTAGTGTTAATGTATTATGCTGTTTGGAATTTAAACAACTATGAACTAATGTATTTATAGCAATATAGCTATCAGCGATCCAGAATGTTATTAATATACCTACCTAATATCATGGGTTTAAGTTGGAAATGTATAAGGGGGGACAAAAATATAATTACATACCTAACGAAAAGGATGCCCGAAACTAAACGCCGCTTTAACCTACCTACATATTATTATATAAAATTCATTTTTTAACATTATGTTAGATAAGCGAAAATTTAAAATTAAGATTTAAAAAAAAAATGTTATAGTAATTACTATAACAAGTTATTTTGTACTTATTTTAAAATACTTAAAAATTAAGATACATCAAATATCAGAGGAGGCACTGTCCCTCCTAATTTATTTTAGGGGCAATTGCCCCTCCCCAGTTTACGCTTATGCCTAATATTAGTTTCCAAATTTGTTGGTTAGTTATTTGTAAGTTATTTATTTATTTATATATAAAATTATTTATTAATTATTTATTAATTTATACTATAATTAGTTATTTATAAGTTATTTATTTTATTTATATAAAAAATTATTTATTAATTTATATTTATTTAAAAGTTATTTATTATAATAAGGCCTATTATGTTATCGCGTGCGGTGGCGTGCCTACTACACAAAAATAGCATTGATTCTAGATTATCTAAAAGGTTCATGAGAATCTATCTCCTGTATTTTCTGTGGGTAGGCCCCTTATAGGGGCGCCAATTTTTTTTTTTTTTGCACCGGGGTGTAAATAATTACCGAATAACTAGTATCGTATCATTGAAATTCACTGAATTACTGAAAATTATTATAAGTGTGTGTTTAATCCTGCCTTTCTCAAGAAAAAAATGTTTATGTGACCTACTAATGTTGATAATCTTTTATTGCGATTTTCATTACTTGAATTACACAAAGTTTCAAATGAGTATGCTATTTTAATTCAATATTATTAATACATATTTAAATAATATACAGATTGTATTTAAAAAAAAATTTTAAATCGTTCCTGTAATTTTGATAGTATATTAATTTAATTTTTAGCGTCTAGTTCTAACTATTCTTCAAGAATAATATTGGGCTTGCGTGACATTCTTTCGAAAATGGAACGACGTCATCGTGAAACATTTCGTTTGTTCGATGCGGACAACTGAGACCTATACTTATTCGAACCACACATGTGCAAGTATGCCTGAAGGTAAAACTTTACCACAGGTAAAAATATAATCTTTTTAATTAAGTTCAGATCATCAGTGCAGGAGATACCTGAATAGGTATACTTGTCAAGTATAACAATGGATGTATGGCTGATTTTAAGACTTTACAAATAGGGCTCATTGACTATCTTCTACATCACTGATACCTACTTAAGATGCATTTCATAATTTAAATTACATTAGCATTTAACAATATCTTATAAATAAAAATGTTATCCTAAACTATTTATTCAAAAAACATTTTTTTATTAATATAATGAAATTCTAGGAAAAATAAATTATTACAGTAAATAATTTGACATTGTTGTATTAATGGTTTATAATTATCAAATAACAGTACAACCATTCTTAATAATTAGTATCTTATTAAATAATCCTTAAATTCTAGTAAATAAATATTCAAGAATGTTTATGTTTCAATAATTAGATAAATTATTTAAAAATCTTACAAAAATAGTAAGTAGGTTAGTAAGCATACAAATATTTATGTTACAGCAACAATATGTGTAACTTTTATGACTCACGAATAACAAACAAAATAAAGAATATTTTTAGAAACTTCCCACATTATACCATCATCAATAACTAAGGTCAACCGACAAACACTAATTTTAAAATGAATAAAAATAAACTTGAAAATATTGGCGAGTATTATATATACAGAACATAACGTATTTATTACATAAATACTATTTCCATCACAAATTCTAAAACAGTTCTTCGTGAAAAACCATTAAGAAACCTTAATATTTTTCTACATAAAAATAATCAATTATTTACCAACTTAATTTTAGTAAGCTTTTGTTTGTTTATATCATTTACAATGCTGATATTTTAAATACATTTTGTTTGTATTTTTTTAACGATAATGAGATAACTTTATTACTTTATAGAAATGTCTTTAGTGCCGTTGTTTTTCCGAGATTGGTGGGAAGATTTTGAACGTGAGCGCTTACCTAGAAGATTACTGGATCAACATTTCGGTTTGGGGTTACACAGAGATGATCTATCGAATTTGACATCAGCTTTGTCCACACCTTCCATGAGGTCAGGAACATATTATAGACCATGGCAAGGTATACTTAACAGGCAAAATAGTGGTACCTCAAATCTTAAATCTGATGATACACAAGTGCAAGTTATATTGGATGTTCAACAATTTGGACCGGGTGAAATCACAGTTAAAACGTCAGAAGGAGCAGTGATTGTAGAAGGAAAACATGAAGAAAAACAAGATGAGCATGGTTTTATATCCAGACATTTTAAAAGAAGATATTTATTACCAAAAGATGTTGATTTAGACAAGGTAGTTTCAAGCTTATCATCAGATGGCATACTTACCGTCAGCGTGCCTAAAAAGGTAATTTAAAGATAAAATATTAGTTAAACTTATTTTGAAATAGGTAGGGTCGGTCGTTTTGATAAACACATGTAAATTATTTTAAATACCTACAAATTGTTATACTTTAGATTTTGAGTGAACTGGAAAGCAAAAAATGTTTTGCAACAATTTCTAATTCCATTAGTCTTATTTCTTTATTTTAATTCAATTTACTGGGTAGTTCAATAGTTATATAATAAAAGATTTTAAATTATTCAGTTACAACTCATTTATCTGTTTGAACAGTAGTGGAACAAATTTAAACTTTTTTGTAAAGTATTCATTTCCTTTTTTCAAATAGAAAAATGTCTTTTGATAATATAAGTAATTTTGTGTTTTAAGACCAATTGTAATTACTAAAAAAAAATTTTATAAAGAATAAAACTTTTTTACTCTTGAGCCCAATCATTTTTGATTAAGATAAAAATATTCATTAAATATTTTAATTTAATTTTTAATATACTTTGGTGTGATTGTTGTAATAATCAATTAACTACTTTGTTGTATAAGCGGTTTTCATTTTGCTCCTTCATATAAAATCAGTTCAAAATGAAATGAAAATATTTTGATTAATCTGAATTACTTTATGTACGTTAATATATTTTAACTGATTTATTTTTTATTTAATCTGTGATAATACTCTATACTTGTATTTCTAAGATTTAATTAATACTTATTATTGAAATTTCAGGTATGAGTACTCCGTTACAAAATCATATTTTCAATAATTTTAGAATATAATTATTATATTATTATATTATTATATATTATTATTATATTATATATTATATTATATATTATTATATTATTATTATTATTAATAGTACTTAGGATTTTTTTTTCCAAATTCAGTTTGAACATTAAGTTAAACAAAACTTAAAATTAAAAACAAAATATAGTACAGTCAATAATTTTAATTATAATTTAACATTATAAAAAAAAAAAAGAAATGAAAAAAGTTAATTATATATTAATTTATATTTTTATTAAATATATAACTGCTAAATAATATTAATTTTATATATTTAATTTTTTAACTAAATTGTTTATTTATTTATTTTTTTTTTTTTTTGTTAGGAAATACAGCTGTCAGGTGAACGTAGTGTACCAATTATTCAAACAGGAATACCTGCAGTAAAAGCAAATGAAGCCCAGAAAAATGATGAAACTCCCATAGTAACAGAAATTAAAGTTGAACACCAATAATTTCTTTTTCTTAAATATATTTTTAATAATGTTTATTAAAAATATTTGTTAAAATTACTGCTAATCATTTTTAATGTATTCCATAAAAAAATGTAACATTTGTATCCATTGAAGGAGATTTTACTTTATGATCTAGCAAAGGTTACAATTATAAAAAATAAATCCATAATAGTGATTGAAAGTAGCTTAAAGTATTTTCATGCTTGATGTTAATAAGATACTTCAAAAGTTTAAAGAAGAAATACATTTTAAATTTTATACTTGAAAAATAAATAATGCAAAACCTTTGAATTAGTTTAATATATATTATTAAACTAAAATCAAAAAAAAACTTCTAAAATCAATACATATTAAATATTTATTTTAAAAATATAAGTTATTTTAAATGTATAACATTTTATCAATATACTAAATAGATAATAAGAAAAATTATTATATTAATAATAATAAAACGAAAATTTAATATCTAAAAATTCAGTCAGGAATCAGAATATCTTCTAAAAATGAACAACTGATTGAATAATAATCTTCATCATCTAAATTTTTCACAACAGTAAATTCACAATCAGTATTTTCGTACTTTTGCAATAATTGTAATTTATTTGTTTGTATTGGTTTAGTGCTATCTAAAAATAAAATATTCATAATACTATAAAATTGAATTTACTACTATAATAATAATAAAAAAAAAAAATTGTACCTAAAATACATCGAAAAACATGGCTTGGATGAAATAATAACTCTGCAGGTAGTTTTTTGATATGTCTAAAACTTAAGAAGGCAACGATTCCTAAGTCTATGGAATATACTTCTGCCAATTCACCAGCTTTAACATTTTCACATTTAATTCTGTACCACATACCATCTAAAATTAAATAAATAAATATAATTTTTTTTAAATATTTACAAAGTATCTAAAAATAATAAATACCTGGAAATTGGCCAAGACATACTTCCCCATTGTGTGGTAAATATGGATTTAAGCTTAAACTACAATATTCTTTAATCATACTAGATAACAATGAAAACGATTTCCCAAACAACTTATCTCTCATGTAAAATATTCCTTCATGATACATAACAAATTTCATGTTGACAATAGATTTTTCGACCAATTTGTTATGTTTTACATGAATATCCTTACAGTAATTACTTGATGCTTCCACTATTTTATATTAAAATATTTCACATTAAAATCTTTATAATAGAATTCAAAAATCACATCCATTTCAATGTTTATAGCTTAAACTACAATTGTTATTAGTTAAATTTTGGTATATGAGGTTTTTTAATAGTTGAGTGGCAGAACATTTTTTTGTTTTTGTTTTTGATCAGTTGCGAGGGTTTTTTTCATAAGATGGTTGATAATCATTATACTTGAAAAGCAAAGTTGCTGATGGTCAGGTTTTAATAGGCAACATGTGTTTAAGCACAGCCACCTTATCCACTTGGCCACAACGATCCCTCAAAGAAGCATATATTTTAATATTCAAAAGCATCAGGTTTATATACTATATAATATACCATATGTCCGCGGAAATAGGATACACTTTACCACTCATTACTCTTTATATATATTTTCAATTCTGTTTTCGGGACATTAAATTAGACTATTGGATCTTTAATTTCGATGACTTACAATTTTTTTTACTCACATATTTTGCGCATGCGCAACACAATTTCACTTTAATGGCAACCCCTATTTTGAATATCATTTTTGGATTAATGGATTTTTTTCAAGTAATTTTGATCCAACAACTACTACTCTCAATCCTATATTGACTGAATGAGAGCTATTTAAATTAAAAAAAAATAAAAATATTTTGTTGACATTTATTTTTTAATTTTAATATTATTATTTTAAACTCTGCTACTCATTATTTATTTACAATTCAATTTACAAAAATCACAAACATAAGTTATTCGATAAATTGTTCGAAAGTTCCTCTATTATTTTGAATGCATGCTTCAAATTGACATAATCATACAACATAAACATATGTATATCTACCTATTTTATTTTTAGTTGTATTTATTTTTGTCATAATTTATGAATATTAAAAATTAAAGAAATTTTCGTAATCTACCCATACCTATCAAAATGCCATTACATAGGTATTTTCATATTTGAAGACCTATTATGAAATACATTATCAGAGTCGTATGCATGGGCGTCCCCATGGGGGGGCAAGACAAAGCACTTGTCCCCCCTCTGGAATAATGTTATTTCCATAGAAATTGGAAAAATTCCAAATGATAAATTAGTTTCTAAAAATAGGTCTACTAAATTTCCATAATATATCTCAACGCACGGCTGACGGCTATCTATAAAAACTATCATTAATAATAATCGGACCATTTTATCTTAGTGTATTTTTTGAGTGATGTTTTAATTGTACATAATATATGCATGTCAATAATGTTTTAATTCATAATTTTAATAATGACGAAATATAATAATTTACTATAAATAAAATGTATAAAAAAATTTTCATTTATTTTTTAAATTAATTTTGCCCCTCCCCCTAGAAAAATGTCTGGGGACGCCCATGGTTGTATGCCATTGCGGTCTTAGTAGTTCTACGTTTTCCGTTAGTTATTCTCAATTGGTATTATAAAGTTAAAGTTTGAATCTAATCAAATTAAAAATTTAATCATGAATAATCATGAAAAAGTTCAGTTACTGTTGATTTACAGAAAATGTAACAGAAATGCACATGAAACAACAATGAAGTACTCCTGCCAATATTCAGATAGGTACCATCCTCATTATACTTATATTCAAAAACTTGAAAATTCATTAAAAGAAAATGGTTCGTTTAATAGAACAAATACTGTTCAAAAACAAACCTCGTGAAAATCAAAATTTAAATGAGGATATTGAAAATCAAGTGTTGGCATATGTACATCTTAACCCACGTTCATCTGTTAGACACGTTAGACTTGAAGTTGGCCTATCCAAAACTTTAGTTCATAATATTTTAAAGAAATACAAACTATACCCTTACAAACCAGACTTTGTCTAACATTTACGTATAACAGATCCAGAAAAAAGATTAATTTTATTTCTTGGTTTATGGTGACATCTGAGGATGATTCATTATTAATTAATCATATTTTATGGACTGAAGAAAGTAAATTTACTAATAATGGAGTATTAAATAAGCAAAGTAATCGTTATTGGTCGATTGAAAATCCTTACTGGTCTGTTCCTACAAACTTTCAAACATGGGGTACAAACGTTTAGATTGGTATGATTGGTGGAAAGTTATTAGAATCTCATTTCTACGGCGGAACTTTAACAGGAAGAAGATATTTAGATTTTTTGCGTGATGATTTGCCACTTTTTTTAGCCTGATTTACCCTTAGAAATACGTAGAAAAATGTATTATCAAAAAGGTAGGGCACCTGCTCATAATTCCCGAATTGTACACGAATTTTTATAAATAAAATTTTGTGAAAAATTTATTGCAACACACGCACCAGTAGAGTGGCCTCCAGATCACCTAACCTTACACCGTTAGAATTTTTTTTGTGGGGACACTCCTCCAGTCAACATTCAAGACTTAAAAAATAAAATTACACACGTGAATAATCTCTTGAATGGAAATCAAATACTATCATCAACTAATCGTGAATGTTCACTTCGATTTAAAGCATGCTTTCAAAATAAGAGAGGGACTTTCGAACAATTTATCCAGTAACTTATGTTTGTGATTTTTGTAAATTGAATTGTAAATAAATAATGTGTAGCAGAATTTAAAATAATAATATTAAAATTAAAAAATAAATGTCAACAAAATAATTTTTTTTTTTAATTTTAAATAGCTCTCATTCAGTCAATATTGGATTAAGAGTTGTAGTTGGATCAAAATTACTTGAAAAAAACCATTAATCCGAAAATGATTTTCAAAATAGGGGTTGTCATTAAAGTGAAGTTGTGTTGCGCATGCGCAAAATATGTGAGTAAAAAAAGTTGGAAGTCATCGAAATTAAAGATCTAATAGTCTAATTTAATGTCCCAAAAACAGAATTGAAAAATATATAAAGAGTAATGAGTGGTAAAGTGTACCCTATTTCCGCGGACACCGGTATATTTTATTGGTGTTTAATTTATTCATTGTTTATATATTAAAAATAATTTATTTTAATAATAATTAATAAATTTAATATTAAATAATTAAAACACTTGTAGGATATTTTTTATTAATAACCAAGCTACATGCAACCATAGATCAAGCCTGGATCTCTACTCTTTGATATCCTTACTTATATTTCAGTATGGTTTGTGTGATTAAATTATTATAATTTTGTATATTTTATTATAATTAATGATAGTATAACAATTAAAATATACTCATTTATTTTATAAATGTTTTAGTGTCATAAAAGTTTTATAAAATTGAAGGTTGTAATGAGATTTTGTGGACGTTTTTATTTTTTAAATATTATAAAAAATGAATACAGCAATAAATTCATAAATAATTCTGGGACCTACACTGATTTATTGCTTCATGATTAACAAATGATTTTAATAAAAAAATATTTCATTGATGCATACCTGCTTCAGTACATAGATTGGGAAAGCTAAATTATTAAAATTTAATATTTTTATGTATCACTCGTTAAATAAATTGTATGTATAATACTTAATTTAATATGTATTCTATATTACATACATAGATCCTTAGGTTCATCATCAAACCATGAAGGTTCAGCTAAACTTAAAAGTATAGCATTTAGGTTTTCTCTTACAATTGTTATATTTAAATCTACATGTTTCCATCCATCTATTTTTGTTTCATCAAAGTTCTAAAACATTACATTAAATTTCAATGTTTAAAACTGTTTTATATTTTATTTTATTTTTAAAATATGTAAACTAACCACGGAAAGACGAATACCGATAACATGTTTAATAAATTTTTCAGCTTCAAATTGGATTGGATATTGTAATGCATTTTTCAATTTTACTTTTAAAAAACATACAGGCAACTAGAAAATAAATTTGAATTTATTTATACTTCAATATTTATTTAATAAATCTAATAATCTAATATAAGTGTACATATAATGTATGTATGCATATAATGTATATTTATATATTAAAGTGAAAGACCTCAACATAGTGAATGACATAATTTCCCTGAAAATTGGTAAAAGTTGTAATTAAAGATATACGCAAGTTATTAAGTTATTGACGTCTATTAACAATTAAGTTGGAAAATTATGCATATAGTGCGAATTTAACAACATAAAACTTGGAAAACATACAATAAAATGAAATAAAAAGGCCCAGTTTTTGATTTTGCAAGAAAAATGTAAATTTAGATAAATAAGTATCTTACACATCTTTATCTAATTTTTTTTTCAATTACGATTCTATAAGGTTAGCATACTGGTGTGCCAGTCTTGTTTATGAACATCCATTGATTATCATGTGAAATAGCTTTGTTAGTTAAAAATATCACAACAGAGATAGCTGAGCAAAATCCCAATTTGATGGCATTGATAATTTGTTAATCGCAATTCGTAGTAATACTACAGATTATATTATTATGTATGACAGCTAAAACCAAGGATCAATTGAACAGGTGAATAGGGATGTAGAAGAAATATTAGCTTCACGGATAGCTAATAATTAAGGTTGGGATTTGAATGCAAATGCATTTTAATCTGTTGATAACTCAAACTTTAATGTGTTCCTCTTAGTAATTATTTTATCAAAAGTTTAACAGAATTAAAATAGTCAAAAAAAATTGTTCTATTTACAAGAGTCCAACGATGATCATAACAACAGGTTAAGAAATAAAATAAATTTAAAAAAAAAAAAACTAAATAAAACGTAAATATTAAATAAATTGGTACCTATTTATTAACTTTATGTTAAATAAATACAATTAAATATGTTTGGTAGCATATATTTTATAATATAGTTTTTTTTAACTATAATAAATACAATTTTTATATTGTATTTTTTTATGATTTATAAATATATTTTTTAGAGCATTTTTTTTACTTTTTTTAGTGCATTAATAATACTGGCTAATGATATTAAAATTTGTGCAAATTCAAAAAAAAAAAAAAAATGAGCCATGAACTTGGATAAGCTATATAATGATTATAAAGTGTATTGCAAGGATAGGATTGGTTTTAGATGAAATACTTACAATGAATAATTATTATTTATTCATATGAATTAACATAGCAAAATAATATTTAGTTTATTACTACAAAAAATATGAGATTTATCACAATTTATCAATAGTCTAAATAAATTATACCATAAACCAGTGAAAGTAGAAAATTTTAATTTACCAATTATTGTCTTTGTACATCATATATATATATATATATATAAGGGAAATCTACCCTTTACGATAAGTTTGAAAGACGAAAAGCAATTCAGAAAATTCTATTGGAGATAAGTGAACATTTATTCAACAGTAGTTGGAATGCAAGTATTGAAAAAGAGAGGGGCATTTGAATAATTTATATTTATATATAAATTATAAAAAATATTAGCAGAGTTATATCTTCAGAATTTTCACACACAAAAAAAAATTAATATGATTTTGATCATTAAATTTAAGAAAATAATATGATCGGTAAACATTAATAAAATAGTAAGAAGAAAAGATACTTACACTTTTATGTTCAAATTGCAATTCTATCATTTCAGATAACTTGATATTTTCTTTATAAGGATTATCCATATGTTTCACAGAATAAATATTATTACCTAAATATTTATGAATTCTACCTCTGACATAGTTATTATTTAAAGTAGACTTAAATCCAACAATTTCTCCATAGACTGGTTCTCTATTTAGCGGATGAGCTATAACAAAATACATTTTGAAATTAAAATAATAACTATGTTTTTCACTACATGACAATTATTTTTTTTGTGAATATATCAATAATACAATAATTGCATATATAATGATATGATATTACATAATTTTATTATAAAATAAATTAATTACAGTTTTTATAGCAATATGCAGCTATTGAGTTCCAAAACGAAAAAATCAATTCTAATTGATATTTCTGTTTCGATCTTATGTATACAGAATTCATATCTTTTAATTTTAATAACTCTACAAAGCTACCGCTTTTAAAATCAATATATGGTACACCAAATTCTTCTACAGTTGCTTGCCATTTTTTTAATTGTACTTTAATTTCTTTTTTTTCATCAAACAAAATTAGAACAATTCTTTCAGAAGATGCACTTCGTACTTTAAAAACATAAGGTTTGTCCTAAAAAAAAAAAGTTACTACAAGTAAAAATTGGAAAAATTCAGAAAACCTACTTTTAGTAATAGAAAATTGTCTTTTGAATATATTTTAAATGAATAAGCTGGTATTTTAGAGTATTTTTCAGGTAGAACTCGAATTAGATTAGTATTAATTATTTTACCAAAATCACACATAGTCACATTTACGGTATTACCAGCTACTAATGTTACATATCCACGACCATACAAATTTGTAACATTATCAAATGCACCCACTAACATTCCGTTTTTCAAATTATATCTATATTTTTAGTAAAATAAAAATGTATATTGTCAATAATATGTAATAGTTTTCAAATAACAATCACTTACATTTTCAATGATTCTGAAAGTTCAATATCATTACTTATATTTTTTAATGTATCTTGTACATTTTCACCATCATTGAAAAATGTAGTCCAACCAGTAAAAATCTTTGGACCTAACATTTTTTCAATTTTAATTTGACCACCAGTACAATTTTCAAATCGATAATAAAAATCTTGATTGTTTAGTTCAAAAAAAGGCCTATAGTTTCATTAACTATAATTAGTACAATCTTATATGATATAATTAAATACTCATATACTTTTCTATTTTCTCCCATTTAGTATTCATGGGCCTTCCAAAAAGATCATCATTATCAAGATTATAGAGCTTGGTTTGACTTTTGAATTTAAGTTGATTTGATTCTTCTATTAAACTACTTCCTGAAATATTGGGTCCGAAATAAATCGACTGCCTGTAAAATAAAAACAATAGAGTGGATCTATCATACAATTATAATTGTACTTACTAAGGTGCTAAATTATAACAAGTTTAAACCTGAATAGTTTAATTATTTACAAACATTTTTTTAATAGGTACATATTAAATTTATAAATATATATGAATCATTAAAATAATTTACATTATAGGTGTATAAGTTATGGACTGGGTCATAACTGATAAAAATAAATTCCTCCTGCAAGTTTTTTTATACATTGTTTTAATGCATAGTCTTGACCTTTTCAAATAAATATTGAAAAATATATTTTTGAATTTTATTCACCAAAATAATTTACTATCATATAATCAAAAAAAAATGTGCATAAATGAATGCAAAAATATAATATTTTTAAAGGATAATTTTTTAAATTAACCAAATTATAATACTAAGAATTAATTATATATATTTTGTAATAATAATATTACCTAATATTTGATTCAATTTTAAAATTATCACTATTAATTGATTTTGCTGTTGAATTAACTGTTTCTATTTTTTTATTTTCAATACCTTCATGATTTTCATTTTCAGAAATTGAATTAATGATTTTTTGAGTTCGATTAGAGATTTCGACTTTTAAAAAAGATGGAAAATCTGATTTTTCACTTAAAAGTTTATATATGGCACTGTAAAAATAATAGGTGGTTATTAATACATACTATTTTATAATTTTTGGTAAATAAAAATCTAATTGATAGACACAAGAAAAACATTTATAAAACAACTAATTTAAATAAAGTGACATTCATAAATATAAAGTAAATTTGAAATATTCCAAAGGAAAGTCCTTTGTTTTTAAAAAAAAAAAAAAAAAACAGCTACTGATAACTATTAGTTAAAATATTATTCTCTTATCAAGCTATGTTAAACCTAATTACTATAACGCAAATTTCTTGAAAAATTATATTACTAACGCTTCATCTTCAAACTCAATAAATGCATGATTTTCTTGTATGTTTTTATGAAGGGTAACCTTTTTAATTATACCATATTTTTTGCATATATTTATAACGCCTTCCTAAAATTAAAATTTTAAGTAAAATAATAAAATTTACATGTTAATTTTTAAATGTGTTTAAAATTGTAATAGTTTTTAATTTAAAACTTACCTTTGTTAATAGTTTTGAATTATCAAACATACAAATTTCATAAATATTATTCCTGAAAAATATAAATACATAAGGAAGCCTTAAGATGTACATCATTAAAAAAAATTTATATTTATTTAGAAAAAAAAGGTTTATATTAACTTTTAGTAATTTTTTAACAACTACAATTAAATTGATGTTGTCAGAAATTAGATAATGCAAATAATATATATCATAGATAAATTATTCACATTTATTTTCATATTATTTATTATTTCTACATGGCATTATTGATTGACACCTTGAGTTACATAACAAATTCAAACATTTACATTAAATATTTTAGAATAATATATCCCTTTATTTAAACACCAATAATACTCTTATTCCTTAACTACCAACATAGACTTAAGATTTGTTTATTTTTATTTGAATATTAAAATAATTGTTTAGTTGCTTTCAGATTAAATTTGTTTTTAATAATTCATCCATAAAAATCACAGACATAGAAAATATTTTGTCAACATTAACATAAATTAACCTAACTTTTGTCATAGTTTGAAAATGTTTTTGGTGTATAATAATTAAGATAGGTAGTTATGTAATCCACAATTGACTGGCTAATATTTGCTGGCTACTTAAGATATCAAAATTTCCCATTATCATAAAAAAAGTTTATTATTCATTAATAGGTCAAAATATATTTATAGTAATGTTTTTTGTATTAATATAAAAATACCTATATTTCTGCTATGATGAAGATATAGATAATCAGGAAGGGTAATAAAATTTATTCAAATTATAAACATTCAATAAATATTACACTCATTGATGATTAATTAGTACAAAATGGTTCAGAAAGCAAAAAAAAAATATTTTCTTAATTTATTATAATTTATAATTTTAATTAAACATATCTTTTTCAGAAAATGTGTATCAATAAAATTATCAAACTAGAATTTAGTTTATTAATAATAAGTAAACTTATAACTTAAAGGAAAATTGAACCCTAGGATTTCTTAATGAAAGTGTTGGTGTAATGTTTATATATATATATATATATATATATATATATATATATATATACCATCATTAATTATAATTTATATATAAGTAATTATACAATGACAAATTAAATATTGATAGTTAACTCAAGCCTAATTAAAAGCATTGATGTATGAAAATACTAGTATATATTCAATATTCTACCAATCAATGGTAGAAATAAAGCTTAATTATATTCTAACTCACTTGTTAATATCCATTTTTATATGTAGGTATGATAACTTTTAATAAAACAAATAAAAATTATTTAATAAAAAATATTTTAATCTTATAGTAGTTATAAATGGCTTTAATAGTAGTTGAAAGTTACAGAAAATGATCGAAGTCAAAAAAAATAATCTTAATCATGATCTTATTGTTAAATCTTTAACTTGCTAACAGCGAACACACTATATTGTGATTAATTAAAGGTCTAGTTTTATATATATTTCACTTTAATTATATATTTTGTATCCGACAATGGCTCGTTATATAATATTAATTTAAAAATAGATTAAAAGTAGACAGTAGCCGGGAATTTGAATAGTTTTATCTGGGTTTGATATTGTAGTTTATCAACAACAATTCACATGTGCATTTAATCACTGATAACTTATAGCTTGTACCACGGTTTTTTAAGACCATGGTTTGTACAATAGAATATAAGAGTTATATTCTATGCTTGTACCAAGGTTAATAACAACATGGTTATTATCATAGAGTTAAGGGTCCCATACACGGAACACAGATATCTATATTATACTAGATGACGAACTTCCGATATCACTTGAAGCACGCATTGATTATGTTATCATTTGTCCGCCATGTTTTGGGTTGGCAAAATATTGTATCAACACTATTCCCCGCGCTTCACAATAATAATTATACACTATTTAGTAACTAATATTTATTAAATATGCCTTTCTCTTATGTTGCATACGGTTGTTTAAATCGCTTTAAAAATAATTCCTCAATTCACTTTTTTCGGTACGTATGAAGTATAGATAATATGATTTAAAAACACCTCAACATTTACATTTTTAATTGCAACGTATATTCTGTACATTTTCTGTAACTGTATATTCTCAATTAGCTGAAACATTCCAGCTTCATTCGTGCACCGATCCCGAAAACGATACAATTATTGAAATTCAACAACTTCTATCAGCTTCGCTACCTATGTCGCTACCTGCAAAACCCATCTTTCCTGGTGAAATGCAGTATATAATTAAAAAATTACCTCCCGGCAAGGCACCTGGAAATGACCTCATTACAAACAAAATTCTGAAAAATCTGTCTCTCAAAACTATATCATTGCTCACCCACATATATAATTCTATGCTAAGATTTTCCCACTTCTCTAAAATCTGGAAATTTGCAGTCATTATACTTGTACACAAACCAAATAAACCTAAACACTTATCTTCGTCATACCGTCCCATAAGTTTACTTCCAGTCCTTGGTAAACTTTTCGAAAAGGCCCTCCTGAAAAGATTACGTCCCATCCTTCAAAACAACCATATCATACCGAATAATTAGTTTGGTTTTTGAAACAGGCACTCAACAATCCATCAAGTTCATCGTCTTACTGATGAAATCTCAACTGCTCTCGAAAATAAAGAATACTGTTCTGGACTTTTTTTAGATATTGCTCAAGCATTCGATAAAGTCTGGCACGATAGCTTACTATACAAATTAAAACTTTTCATGCCAGCTCCCTACTATCTTATTATCAAATCTTACCTACAAAATCGTTCGTTTGTCGTACGACAGGGGAACGATATTTTATCTACCCACCCAATATATGCTAGAGTTCCACAGGGTAGTGATCTATCCCCTGATCTATATAATGTATTCACAGCAGACATCTCTCAATCTAGTAACACCCTTCTAGCAACATACGCTGATGACACAGCTATTCTTTTCTCCAGTCCAAATCCTATCTTAGCTTCAGCTGAACTCCAGGATCATGCTAATAAAATTGAAGAATGGGCCAAAAAATGGAAAATAAAAATTAATACGGAAAAGTCTGTACAAATAACTTTTACGTTAAAACATTCTCCCTGTGAGTGCCCTCAATTAATTATGAACAACGCCCCCATCCCTGTCCAAACCAAAATTAAGTACTTAGGCATAATGCTAGATAAAAGACTAACTTGGGGTCCCCACCAATAAGAAAATCATCGAACAACAGACTTCACCTCCTCCGACCACTCCTAAACTCCAAAATAACACTCTAAAACAAACTTATTACATATAAGTCAATCATAAGACCAATCTTGTACAAACCTACAAAAATATATATTGATAATTTCCTTATATCCCGGAAAACATGTGTCTGAATGAACTTTGATTGGGACGTGGGAAAATAACCTTAAAATAGTGAATGTCCCGCTAAAATCGAGACGGTTGGCAATCCTGCTCGAGACCCTTGTGTAAATCAAAATCTTAAGGCCTCTTATTGTTGTAAATTTTTTAGCATTTGACCTTTTGATGGCCTGTATTATGGTATGAGGCCATAGGTTAGGTTAGAGTGTTCAACTAGTCTTCAAATAGACTCCAAATATTGGGGGTACTGAAAATGCTGAAAATAAAGTTAAATGGTATACCAAATATAGTTAACTGTAATTACCATAGATTATATACATCTGAAAAAAAAAACAGAAATGCTACATTTGAACTCAGGAGTGCTAAAAACTCTATTGCGTCCCCTCTAGTTGCGCCTATGTACGAGGTTTAATAAATCCAAGTGAATTTTTTTGATTAATTAAAGATATTAATTTATTATAAAAAGAAAACATAATTATTTATTACAAAGAAAATTACACTTGCAAAATATCTAAAAACTATAACATTATGCAACGCCATGACAGTTGATGCTACTAGCCATAGATAAGTCTACTACTATATAGTATACAGTATAAAAGTATAATAAAAATAACCTACAAAAACAATAAGGAATTGTGTCTAACTTCAACAAATTTAACAAAAATTAAATTTAAAGATCATCTAAAAACATATCAATCAGATAATGATGTAGATGAAATAACTCCAGTGAGTGAATTCATAATATAGCATCAACAAATAAAAAAGGAAATATCCAACACAATAGAAGCATTAAATAATTGCAATGAAGATAAGGTATTCCCAACTATTTACATAATTACAACCATTACTTTTAATTATATTAGATACTTTGCCGGTCACATCTGCACCCAGTGACTTCGTTTTCGTTTCGACTTCCTTTTAAACACTTCGATGTTTGAAATCATATTTACGAAGTATCTACCTACCTACTAATGGTAAAAATCGTCTTATCTGATTTGACAGTTATGAATATACATCGTGATATATTAATATCAATAGAAGATGGATCAAACTCTCAATTATACTGTAATTAATTAAACAAGCTCATCAACAGTGGCGTAATAAAAAAATTTGGGTCCCTCAAATATTGTTTAGTTAGGTATATTAGTTTAAAAATATCAATATTTATATAAATAACAATATTACACAATTATTATTTAATGTAAAAATAACTAAATTTTACTGAATTATTTTATTTGAATTTCTGTGAACTTCTAGCATTTTTTTGGACATACTTGTCAACTAACATGTTTATATCTAAACTACGTTATTCCTCGTTTTCAATACTCATTACACTTAAATCTGATAAACGTTGTTGTGCTATAATACTTCTTAAATAACTCTTAATTAGTTTTAATTTAGAGGACGAACGTTCTTCTGTAACTGATGTTCAGGGGCGCAATTTCAATGAAAAAACAGGGGCTGCTGAAGTCCTTCTATCTTTTTCATGTTCCTTAATGGTAATATACACCCACAACCCGTACAATTCAACAGTTACTAAAATATTTAATAAATATTTGAATATTTCTAAGTTTAAATTGTTCGCTTTGATTTTATATTTTTATTTAGCATATAATGAATTATCCGTCTGTAAACACAAATATTTCATCACATGATCACTTTCAGATTTTAATTGAAGCGAAAAATAT